TTTTATATATATAATAAAACTGTTTATTTTTGTTATGGTACATAACAGAAAAGCAAATTGTGGCAAATATAATCAGGTTACAATATTTTTGACGTGTAGATGCCTATCTACCTTAGTCAATCAGCCATTTAATTTTGACATTAAGTACAAATTTTTATCAGTTACTTAACTTAATACATATAACTTGCTATTTCTGCCTGTTTTCCACTACTTTCAGTCAAAGCTTTGTTGATATCATTTTTGAACTTAAGAACTGGTTTGAGTCATGGGGTTCTGGCTCAGAATATATCACTTTTCATTTGGGACAGATGCTTGCTCGGGGCTCATTCTACCTTATCTTCTTTTATTTCTTTGCATTCATTCCTATCATAGCCCTCATTGTCCCTATGACCAAGTCATTGAACACTCGTATTGAGCATTCTGACCTTTTGCTCCTTGTCTGCCCTTCATTTGAAGAGTCTCATCTTTTGCCCAAAGAGGATTTTCTTTCTTTTTTCACTGTGGATAGTCTTTTTTTGCCTTCTTTCCTGAGATTATCCCTGGCTTTTGTCCAGAGTTCTTCAGATTCCCAGTCAATTAGGCTTAGTAGTATACATCTATTATTTACATGGTCTTTCAATTCCACACATGGCTACGTTCCATCTTTACAGCTTTCCCTTTTCAATTCTTCTTACCTTCCATTGCGCAGACCTTTCTCCAGGTGAATATCCTTTCAGCTTGAGTAGTTGCATTGCTAGACACAGTGCTACTTGCACTTGTCTTCTGTTCTTTCTCACTAACCAGTTGAGTGCCATTGGAATCCTGGGAATTGTCGTTTCACAAGATCTTTAGCCTTTCCTCCCAAAGTGAAGAGAGAGAGGGCCAGAAGATAGTTCCACCTTGTCTCCTGCGCTATGCTAATAACATAATATTATAATATAATGTAGTATATTGTGTGTGTGAGTGTGTGTGTATAGATAGATAGATAGATAGATAGATAGATAGATAGATAGATAGATAGATTACTAGCCGTCCCCTGCCACGCGTTGCTGGGGGTTCTGTGTGGGAGGTTTAGCCCAATTCTATCGTTGGTGGGATTCAAAATGCTCTGTGATTGTAGGTGAACTATAAATCCCGGCAACTACAACTCCCAAATGTCCAGATTCTATTTTCCCCAAACTCCACCAGTGTTCACATCTGGGCATATTGAGTACTCGTGTAGAGTTTGGTCCAGATCCATCATTGTTTGAGTCCACAGTGATCTCTGGATGTAGGTGAACTACAACTCCAAAACCAAAGGACGCTGCCCACCAAAGCCATCCTGTATTTTCTGTTGGTCATGGGAGAACTGTGTGCCAAGTTTGGTTCAATTCCATCGTTGGTGGAGTTCAGAATGCTCTTTGATTGTAGGTGAACTATAAATCCCAGCAACTACAACTCCCAAATGACAAAATAATTTTATTTGAGTGAAGAACATGCATTGGGTTGTTTGGTGTCTTGTGTCCAAATTTGGTGTCAAATTTGCCTGGCCATAGGTTTTTAAATGCTGCATGTTATTGTTATTGTTTATTGCTTATTGTGTATTTTTGTTTTTGAGTTTTATTTTAACTGTTTGTATTGATTATTTGTTATTGCCTTTGTTTATTGATGTGCTGTGGGCTTGGCCTCATGTAAGCCGCACTGAGTCCCTTGGGGAGATGATAGCGGGGTACAAATGAAGTTTTTTTATTATTATTATTATTAGTAGTAGTAGTATTATTATTATTATTATTATTAGTATTAGTATTAGTATTAGTATTATTAATTCATCCAGTGGTTTTTGAGTTCTGTTAATCCCACAAACGAACATTACATTTTTATTTATACAGATTAGCAGTACTCGCCACGCGTTGCTGTGGCCAACCTTCCCTCCCTCTTTCTCTCCTTCTTTCTTTCTCTCCTTCCTTCCCTCCTTCTTTCCTTCCTTCTGCTCTTTTTCTTTCCTTTCTTCATTCCCTACTTCTTTCTTCCTTCTCTATCTGTTTCTTTCCTCGCTTCTTTTGCTCTTTGGCTCCATCTTACCTTGTCTCTTTCCTTCCTTCCTTCCTTCCTTCCTTCCTTCCTTCCTTCCTTCCTTCCTTCCCTCCCTCCTTCTTTCTCCCTTTCATTCCTTCTATCCTTCCTTCCTTCCTTCTTCCTTCCTTTCTGTGTATATGTGTTTGGGTGTGCATATATGTCTGTATAAATTTGTGTATATGTGTATATATGTGTGTTTGTGTATATATGTGGTTTTGTGCATGAGTTGTAACATATATTTTTCTCTTTTTTTGGCTTTTTAAGGCTCTCCTGTTGTGTTTTTCAATGTTTTTATTTACTTGTTGGCCTGATAGGTGTCTTGTGTCCAAATTTGGTGTCAATTTGTCCAGTGGTTTTTCAGTTATGTTAATCCCAGAAACGAACTTTACATTTTTATTTATATAGATTGACCAGTAGCTGCTGCATTTCCCACCCTCGGCTTATACTCGAGTCTTCACACTGAATGTTGTCTTCACACTGGATTTTCATAGTCAATCTCAAAAGTGTTATGTTATTAATTCCTGTACATATTTACATGCTTTAGGCGTGGGCAAACCTCGGCCCTCCAGGCCCTACTGGCTGTTAGGAATTGTGGGAGTTGAAGTCCAAAATACCTGGAGAGCCGATGTATGCCCATGCCTGCTTTAGACAAAACTGGGCTTTAGGAAACTATTTTGTAGTTTCCCCCCCCCCCCCCCCACTATACTGCAGAATGCCAGAATTGAAGACTAAGGTTAATTTCCTATATTTAGAAGGGTATTTTTTATTTCAAAATCCATGGCAATGGTATGATCCTAACCGATCTCAAATGATGCGGATACAAGCTTAGCATTTTGCTGGGAGCTGTGTTATTACTGTTATTGTAAGCATTTCAAAACCTCCTGATTCATCAGAGGCACCTTTTTAAATCAACCAAAAGGCATTTTAACGAGTCCATCCATCTGACTCTCCTTGGCAGCTAAGATGACACAGGGCTTTCTCTCCTGGAAGCGATTTCCATTCAATTGTGAGGAAGATTGGATTGCAGCTTGTTGCCAGAGTGAGCCAGCAAGCCTTTGCTCCATAATTAAATCACAGTCTTATAATCTTATAACTCTTGGCCCAGGGGCTCGCTTGTTTTTCATGTCCTTCCGAACTTGCAACATCCATTATAAGGTCAAAAGCCAATCTGATTTAATGGTGGAAAACTCTTAGCCGTTAAAATGTAGATTTAGGAAGCTAGGCAGTATTATGCAGTCGAACGATGGCTTTCTCTCTCTCTTTTTTTGACTTGTTGTACATTTCTGTAATGCCTGTAATAATCCAATCTTGATTTTATATAAAGGGATGCCATTTTACTATACCATTGTATGTCATGCATTTTTTCTGTGAGAGAAAAAGCAGGATATCAATAAACATAATAAACAATAATAATAATAATAATAATAATAATAATTTATTTATTTATTTACAGTATTTGTATACAGCTTTTCTCACCCTGAGGGGGACTCAAAGTGGTTTCCACATAGGTAATGGCAAAATTCAATGCCAGTACAAACAATTAATAATAATAATAATAATAATAATAATAATAATAAACCTTTATTTATACCCGGCTACCATCTCCCGAAGGACTCGGTGCGGCTTACAAGAGGCCGAGCCCAAATACATCAGTAAAACACAACAACAATACAATAATAAAGAATTACAATTATACATTACAATTAGACATAAATCAAATTAAAAATACACCCATAAGCAGTAAAACAATCATTAAAACAATAAAACAGTCTTGTCCGTCAAATCACCGTTCCATTCATTGTCTTTCCGAATTGCTGCATACATTTGCTTCTACTGCCCGAAGGCCTGGTCCCAAAACCATGATTTTAATTTTTTTCTAAAAGCCAGGAGGGAGGGAGCAGATCTTAGCTTATTTGGGAGTATGTTCCACAGGCAGGGGGCCACACCTGAGAAGGCCCTGTCTCTCATCCCCGCCAGGCGCATCTGTGCTCTTGACGGGAGCGAGAGCAGGGCCTCTCCGGATGATCTTAGATTACGAGATGGGACGTGTAGGGGTGGATGCGTTTGGACAAGTAAGCTGGGCCAGAACTGTATAGAGCAGGGTTTCTCAACCTGGGGGTCGGGACCCCTCAGGGGGTCGTGGGTGGGTGTCAGAGGGGTCACCAAAGACCATCAGAAAACACAGTTTTTTCTGTTGGTCATGGGGGTTCTGTGTGGGAAGTTTGGCCCAATTCTATTGTTGGTGGGGTTCAGGATGCTTTTTGACTCTAGGTGAACTATACATCCCAGCAATCACAACTCCCAGGGGGCAAGGTCTATTTCCCCCAAACTCCATCTGTGTTCATATTTGGGCATATGGAATATTTGTGCCAAGTTTGGTCAATGTTTGAGTCCACAGTGCTCTCTGGATGTCGATGAACTACAACTCCCAAACTCAAGGTCAATGTCCACCAAACCCTTCCAGTATTTTCTGTTGGTCATGGGAGGTCTGCGTGCCAAATTTGGTTCAATTCCATTCTTGGTGGAGTTCAGAATGCTCCTTGATTGTAGGTAAACTATAAATCCCAGCCACTACAACTCCCAAATCACAACATCAACCTCCCCCAACCCCACCAGTATTCAAATTTGGGCATATCGGGTATTTGTGTCAAATGTGGTTCAGTGAATGAAAATAAATCCTGCATATCAGATATTTGCATAACAATTCATAACAGTAGCAAAATTACAATTCTGAAGTAACAATGAAAATAATTTTATGGTTGGGGGTCACCACAACATGAGGAACTGTATTAAGGGGTCACGGCATGAGGAAGGTTGAGAAACACAGGTATAGAGCTTTATAGGTCAAAATCAGCACTTTGAATTATTATTATTAATAATAATAATAATAATAATAATAATAATAATAATAATTCTATAACTCTTGGGAAAGAGGCTTTGAGGTGACTTCCGTCTTTGCCTTCCAGGTGCATTTACATGGAGAAAGTAGACCCCGAGATCTCGCTCTTGTTCCAATGCCCGTCTGCAAAGGGCATCACAGAGGCTCAGGTCCAGGTTGAGCTGTCCCCTTTGTATGACCGGCACCCATTGCTTGGAGACCAGCTTCAGATTGAGGCCACTTGGGCAGAGCGCTGCAAGCAGAACCCGTGGCTCTTTGACGGGGACAAATTCCGCCTGCATTCTGTCAAACTGGACGGAGCCGTTCTGACTTTCCTTCTTGGGCTTACCTGCTACAAAGACTTTGTGGGCACCAACTTGGGCGATGGAGCCGCACGCCTGCAGCAGCAGGGCTGGGAGGACTTTGGGGACAGACAAGCCTACCTGGCCCAGCCCTTGGGGGTGGGCGCCATGCTGCACACAGCAGACGACAAGTTCATTTTTTTGAAGCGGAGCCACCTTGTAGGGGAAGCACCTGGGAAGGTTGACATTCCTGGTGGGCATCCCGAACCACAGGTTAGTCTGGTCTGATTGCAACTAGAGAGAAGAGGGCAAACTTGTAGAAATACTGTAAATACTGTACTGTGGTGCTCATCTCCATTTCTAAGCCGAAGAGCCAGCGTTGTCCATAGACACCTCCAAGGTCATGTGGCCGGCATGACTGCATGGAGCGCCCTTACCTTCCCGCTGGAGCGGTACCTATTGATCTACTCACATTTGCATGTTTTCGAACTGCCAGGTTGGCAGAAGCTAGGGCTGACAGCGGAAGTTCACGCCGCTCCCCGGAATCGAACCTGCGACCTTTCGGTCAACAAGCTCAGAAGCTCAGTGCTTTAACCCACTGCGCCACCGGGGGCTCCACTAATACTATATCCTAGTGTAAATAATAATATTTATTATTTATTTATTTTATTTATTTATTTACAGCTTTTATATTCCGCCCTTCTCACACTGCAGGGGACTCAGGGCGGATTACAGTGTACACATATATGGCAAACATTCAATGCCAATTTTTGACATACAAACATATACAGACATACACAGAGGCTATTTAACTTTTTCTGGCCGCCAGGGGAGCTGTCGCTTTCATTGTCCATTTGTGACGCTGATGAAGCAGTTCCGCATTCCCCGCATGCTTCCCCGCTGGAATGCTTTGCTGGAGTCTTCTTTATGGCCTCATAAATCAGTTAATTTAGCCTCCCCACACTTTAAGGTGGTACCTAATTTTCCTACTTGACAGATGCAACTGTCTTTCGGGTTGCAAAGGTCGATAACAGGCTACACACAATTGGTTGGAAACTCATTCCAACCCGGGCTGGCTTCGAACTCATGACCTTTTGGTCAGAGTGATCTTAATGCAGCTGACACTCAGCCAGTTGCGCCACAATCCCGGTGCAGTATATACGGTATATACGAGTATATACAGTAAATCCTTTTCTTTTCAGGTTGTGAGAGGAAGCACCGCCTTGGAGGGACCCATCTGCCATCAAGACCTCCAGGGTAACTTGGTTGTCCAGGAATTATTCTCCTCTGTTCTCCGGGAGATTCAAGATGAGGTGAGGGGATGCAAGGAAAAGAGGGGCTACCTTTGGACTGCTTCGCCCATTATACACGTCATGTGCTAACCCCTGCCCTTTGATGCCTTCCAGGTGAGCCTCCCATCGGCAACACTGAGTAGCCCTGTGTTACTGGGGATTGCTCGGAACGAGACCAGCGCAGGGCGGTGCAGCGTGGAATTCTACGTCAGGTAATGCGTTAAATCATTTAAAAAGTGCAAGAAGTGTTCGTGACGCCAAATAATGTTATGAATAACTTTCCCACATTGGAAAAGAATATCCCACTTCTGACACCAAATATGTCATAAGTACTTCTATAAGGTTCTTCTATTCCGCTTTTAGTGAGACAGGTTGCATTAGGCACTTGCAGAGAAAAAGTAGACACAGACTCCAGTACTGGGTTTTATACTTACTTACTTACTTACTTAGGCAATCCCTCGTTGGCCGAGTAGGATAGTCCTCCAGGATCAGAATTCTTGTGAGTCTGTAGGTGGCTGTGGAGCCCTATTCTTGATCTGCATCTTCCGCGGTATGGGCATTGGTTTCCAGGTGGAAGGGGGTCCCGGTCGGGGTTGGCTTGACGCCTTCCTCTTGGCACGTTTCTCTCTTTCACCCTCCTTTCGTGCCTCTTCAAATTCTGCAGCACTGCTGGTCACAGCTGACCTCCAGCTGGAGCGCTCGAGGGCCAGGGCTTCCCAGTTCTCAGTGCCTATGCCAGAGTTTTTAAGGTTGGCTTTAAGCCCATCTTTCAATCTCTTTTCCTGCTCACCAACATTCCGTTTTCCATTCTTGAGTTCGGAATAGAGCAACTGCTTTGGGAGACGGTGGTTGGGCATCTGGACAACGTGGCCGGTCCTGCGAAGTTGATGGCGGAGGACCATCGCTTCAGTGCTGGTGGTCTTTGCTTCTTCCAGCACGCTAACGTTTTTCTGCTTGTCTGCCCAAGAGATTTGCAGGATTTTCCGGAGGCAGCGCTGATGGAATCGTTCCAGGAGTTGCATGTGACGTCTGTAGACAGTCCACGTCTCGCAGGCATATAGCAGTGTTGGGAGAACAATAGCTTTATAAACAAGCACCTTGGTATCCCTATGGATGCCCCGGTCCTCAAACACTCTCTGCTTCATTCGGAAAAATGCTGCACTCGCAGAGCTCAGGCGGTGTTGTATTTCGGTGTCAATGTTGACTTTGGTGGAGAGGTGGCTGCCAAGGTAGCAGAAAGGGTCAACATTTTCTAATGTTACACCATTAAGCTGTATCTCTGGCATTGGAGAAGGGTTGGCTGGTGACTGCTGGAAGAGCACTTTGGTTTTCTCGATGTTCAATGACAGGCCGAGCTTCTCGTATGATTCTGGTGTTTAGAGTGGCTTGTAGACCTTCTGAATGCGCACAGATGACGTTGTCATCAGCATACTGGAGTTCTATAACAGGTGTTGTTGTAACCTTGGTTTTGCCTTTCAGTCTGCTGAGGTTAAACAGCTATAATAATTATATTGGTTAACAGACAAAAGGGGGAATATTGCATCAATGTTTGTACATATAATCTGACATTCAATCATTCATTCATAATTCATTCATTCCTCAAGCATTCTTACCATTCTTCTTGTTGAAGATGATCAGCTTCTTGAGAGGAGGCGGCTGTTCACAATGGTGTTAAGAAATGGTGTTCAGTTGGTCTGACACACTCTCTCTGAGAGAAAAGGATCCTTTTATGCAGTATTTTCTGTTGATGTGGTTCTGAAAGTTGTAAATTTCAGACAGACAGATTCCATCAGTTCCTGGACAGATGTTGATTTTGTTTAATTGGCTTTCCTTATCAAGGAAGCTTGTAAACATTTCTGTAAGGAGCCACAGTGTTGACTTCCTTACTTAAAAGAACCATTGTCACAATTCTTATCAGAATTTACTCTTCAGATCTCATTAACAGGTTTTAATCACAAAGCAGCAAGCAGGTAGTTAGTCATTGCAGGCCTTAATATTATACTGGTGTTTCCATAATACATCCATCCTTTCATTCCTACACATCATATTAAATTCATATATGTGAAATCTGCACACTGAATTTCTTGTGGCATTTTTAAATGGTGTATTTTAATATTGAGATAAATGTTTTTAATGTTTATGTACGCCTATATGAATTCTTGTCCTGGCACTGAATGTTTGCCATATATATATATATACAGTATTTATATTCCGCCCTTCTCACCCCGCAAGGGACTCAGGGCGGATTACAATGCACATATACATGGCAAACATTCAATGCCATAGACACACAACATATATAGGCAGACACACAGAGGGTATTTAACATTCCAGCTTTTTCATGAGGGTATTCGGGCCACCAGGGGAGCTGTCGCTTCACCGTCCATTTGTGACACTGATGAAGTACTTCCTCATTCTTTGCATGCTTGCTGGAAATTTTTATGGCATCGTAAATTAGCCTCCTCACATAAGCAGTAGCTAAATTTCCTACTTGACAGATGCAACTATGTTTCGGGCAGCAAAGGTCGACAGCAAGCTACACAAATTGGTCGGAAGGTCACTCTGACCCGGGCTGGCTTTGAACTCATGACCTTTTGGTCAGTAGTGATCTTAATGCAGCTGACTCCCAATGTATTGACCAGAGTATAAGCCGAGGGTGGGAAATGCAGCAGCTACTGGTAAATTTCAAAATAAATAGGTACCAATAAAATTATATTAATTGAGTGATCCATAGGTTAAATGTTTCTGGATATTTACATAAAACTGTAATTTCAGATAATACTGTCCGACTCTGATTAAACCATTATTCTAGCTTTCTTCAATGTAAATGTGCTTACATATCCTTCTGATAATAATAGAGTAAAATAATAAATGTAATAATAATAATAATGTAAAATAATACATGTAATAATATCAGAGTAAAATAATAAGTGTAATAATAATAAATAGAGTAAAATAATAAATGTAATAACATCAGAGTAAAATAGTAATAATAATAGTAATAATAATAAAAATAAATAGCTGGTTGCCAGTTTGCTACCGGGCTCAATTCAAAGTGCTGACTTTAGCCTATAAAGCCCTAAATGGTTCCGGCCCAGCTTATCTATCCGAACGCATCTCTTCCTATGAACCCTCCAGGAACTTGAGATCATCCAAGGAGGCCCTGCTCTCGATCCCACCTGCTTCTCAAGCACGTCTGGAGGGGACGAGAGACAGGGCCATCTCTGTGGTGGCCCCTCGGCTGTGGAACTCCCTGCCTAGGGATATTAGATTAGCCCCCTCCCTCCTGACTTTTCGGAAAAGAGTAAAAACTTGGCTCTTCGAGCAAGCATTTGGAACCTCGGAATAAATAGACAAACTTGAATCAGAAAATGACACAGGAACGGCCGAAGATGATGGAACGGATGAGGATTCGAACAAGAGGACATAGGGGGGGGGGGGGTTAAAAACTGTTATTATGCACTGTTTTTATGTTTAAATGCACTATAATGTTTCTTTTGTTTATCAATGTATGTATTTTTATGGCATCGAATTGTGCCGACTGTGTATGCCGCCCTGAGTCGCCTTCGAGCTGATGTGGGCGGGATAGAAATAATGTAAGTAAATAAATAAATAAATAAATAAATAAAGTCATAATAATAAGTAAAATAATGGAAATGCAATAACAATAGAGTAAAATAATAAATGTAATAACAATAATAACGATAATAAAGTAAAATGAAAAATGTGATAATATCAGAGTAAAATAATAAGCGTAATGACAATAATAATAATTAATAGAGTAAAATAATAAATGTAGTAATAACAACAACAACAACAAGGGAGTAAAATAATAAATAACCTTGACTTGAGTATAAACCGAGAGAGACTTTTTCAGCCTAAAAAAAAGGGGCTAAAAAACTAGGCTTATACTCGAGTATATACTTTTCTTTGCCAATGAGATGTCTTCTTTAGGGCCCATGTTGCACCAAACCCTGACAGGTCTACGATTTGTCTTCCATCTTGCAACCCCATTTTGCTTCTCTCATTCAGGTGCAGCCTGACGTCTGAGGAAGTGAGGCACTACTATGCTATCGGGGGCCCTGAAGCTCAGGAATCCACCAGCGTTATCTTTGTCAACAGAGAGGTATGTGTTGGGCCTGCTGGTCTGTGGAAGATGGTCTGCATTGCAACCTGCTTTCTTCTTACCTCTACAACTCTTTTAACCCTGGCTTTCGTTATGTCTCTCTGTGTGGACAGGATGTCCTGACAATGGAGCAGAATGGGGAGTTGTGGAAGGAACTGTGTCCGTCGGCCAAAGGGGCTGTAAGGCTCTATTCAGTGGTGATGGGCGAGTGCCAGTGAGCGCTCCTAAACAATGCTTCTTGGACGAATTAAGGACTCTCAGGGACTATTCCACAAAATCACCATTTTTTTGGCAACAGTGGGGATATCAACACCAGGGGCATGGAGTGAGAGTTATTCCCTCCTTGGAAATGGACCAAATAATTCCCACCTTAACTCCTTGCCATTGCTGAGCCGACTAATATTCCATTTCCCACTAAAGAGCTTGTATTTTTAAAAAATAGTTCTCATGAATGATGAAATGGTGGTACATATTTTGTGAGTATTTTCTATTCCTGGCTGTGTTTTCCGTCCCTGGGATGTATCTTGAACTGGTACATTCTGTGTGCCACCAGTACAACCGGTATTGCTGGTTTACAAAGTGACAGCTGCAATAAAATGTTTTGTATTCCAGCCCATTTGAGGTTGCGCCATTCCCTTGCCGCTGGTTTTTATTTCATGCACACTGAGGCATAAATCTCAGAATTTCCTGAAATAATCTATATAAATAAAAATGTAATGTCTGTTTGTGGGATTAACAGAACTCAAAAGCCACTGGGCAAATTGACACCAAATTTGGACACAAGACACCTAACAACCCAATGTATGTCCTTCACTCAAAAAAATTGATTTTGTCATTTGGGAGTTGTAGTTGCTAGGATTTATAGTTCACCAACAATCAAAGAACATTCTGAACCCCACCAACGATGGCACACAGAACTCCCATGACCAACAGAAAATACTGGAAGGGTTTGGTGGGCAGTGTCCTTTGGTTTTGGAGTTGTAGTTCACCTACATCCAGAGATCACTGTGGACTCAAACAATGATGGATCTGGACCAAACTCTACACAAATACTCAATATGCCCAAATGTGAACAATGGTGGAGTTTGGGGGAAATAGACTTGACATTTGGGAGTTGTAGTTGCTGGGATTTATAGTTCACCTATAATTACAGAGCATTCTGAACCCCACCAACGATAGTATTGGGCCAAACCTCCCACACAGAACCCCCATGTGGGCCACAGCAACGCGTGGCAGGAGACGGCTAGTCTATATAAATAAAAATGTAATGTTCGTTTGTGGGATTAACATAACTCAAAAACCACTGGACGAATTGACACCAAATTTGGACACAAGACACCTATCCAGCCAACAAGTGACCATCACTCATAGAAACACTGAAAAACACAGCAGAAGGGACTTAAAAGGGGGGAAAAGCAAAAAGACGTTACAGAGCATGAGCAAAACGACTCCCCACACAATAGCATATCCACACTCTTCCAGACTACAGCTCCCAGCATCCCCTAGACCAGGTTCTTTAGGAGAGGAGGATGATCCAAATGCACTGCTTCCAAGATGCAAGCTTTCTTCTCCTTGGATTTCTTTGAGCGCATCCCAATCCCGGCATATTTCCAATTTCCTATTCCTGGACTGCAACTCTGAGAAATCCTCCAGATAGATAAATAGATAGATAGATAGATAGATAGATAGATAGATAGATAGATAGATAGATAGAGATAGGTAGGTAGGTGGGTAGGTAGGTAGATAGATCAGGAGGACTGCTGGGGGTTGCAGTCCAAGAATAGGTAGAGAATGAAGAACGGGGAGAAAGAAGAAGGGAAATAAAAGGGTGGGGAAGGAAGGGAAGAGGAAGAGAAGGAAGGAAGGAAGGAAGGAAGGAAGGAAGGAAGGAAGGAAGGAGAGAAGGAAGGAGAGAAGAAAAAAAGGGAAGGAAGGAAAGAAAAAGGAGAGAAAGAGGGAGAGAAGGTTGGCCACAGCAACATGTGGTGGGTGTATATAAAAAAAAATGTAATATTCGTTTGTGGGATTAACATAACTCAAAAACCACTGGACAAACTGCTGCCAAATTTGGCCAGAAGACACCTACCAACCCAAGGAATGACGATCACGCAAAAAAATTGAGTTTGTCATTTGGGAGTTGCAGTAGCTGGGACTTATAGTTCATCTACAATCAAAGAGCATTCTGAACTCTACCAATGATGGAATTGAACCAAACATAGCACACAGGACTCCCATGACCAACGGACTCAAACACTGATGGATCTGGACCAAACTTGGCATGAATACTCAATATGCCCAAATCTGAACACTGGTGGAGTTTGGGGAAAATAGACCTTGACATTTGGGAGTTGTAGTTGCTGGGATTTATAGTTCACCAACAATCCAAGAGCATTCTGAATTCCACCAACGATGGAAGTGAACCAAACAGCACACAGAACTCCGATGGCCAACAGAAAATATTGGAAGGGTTTGGTGGGCATTGACCTTGAGTTTTGGAGTTGTAGTTCACCTACATCCAGAGAGCACTGTGGACTCAAACAATGATGGATCTAGACCAAACTTGGCACGAATACTCAATATGCCCAAATGTGAACACTGGAAGAGTTTGGGGAAAATAGACCTTGACATTTGGGAGTTGTAGTTACTGGGATTTATAGTTCACCTACAATCAAAGAGCATTCTGAACCCCACGAACGACAGAATTTGGGCAAACTTCCCACACAGAACCCCTATGACCAATAGAAAATAAACTAAACCCTTAAAAACGATTAAAAATTATTCATAGCTAAAACCACAGCATGCCTGCTAATTATCTTCTTAACGTAGTACCCTTCAGGTCTTCCATAGCCCTCATAAATGTGTTCTTCGATGTCAAACCCAAAAGGAAATCGTCCTGGTTTATAGTCATCATAAACTGGCAGCAAATTTATGTGGTCACGGGTTAAGCAAATAATAATAGGGACACTGCTCCCTTCTGAGTGATGAACATTATTTAGGCAAAACTTTTGCTTCTAAAGTGGTCACACCATCCCATTTCTTTGAAGCCATAAAAGCTAGAATTTTTAGTGGGTTGCTGTGAGTTTTCTGGGCTATATGGTTGTGTTCCAGAAGCATTCTCTCCTGACGTTTCACCCACATCTATGGCAGGCATCCTCAGAGGTTGCGAGGTCTGTTGGAAACTAGGCAAGTGGGGTTTATATATCTCTGGAATGATGTCAGGGTGGGAGAAAGAACTCTTGTCTGTTTGAATCAAGCGTGAATGTTGCAATTGAGCACCTTGATTAGCATTGAATAGCCTTGTAGCTTCAAAGCCTGGCTGCTTCCAGCCTGGGGGGAAATCTTTGTTGGGAGGTGTTAGCTGGCTCTGATTTTTAATAAGCAATCCTAGATTCTCAAGCCGAATTTCTACTGAACAAAATCTGGCTACCAGTATTAGAAAACTCTAAAATTACAACAGCAAAACAGCAGAGAGGAAACAACCAGGCACATCTTAACACCTCTCAACAGGGGATTTTCCCAGGCTCAGCCAGGCCTTCAAATGCTAATGAAGGTGGTCAGCTGAAACATTCACACCTAGCTCCAGCAGGGAAGAGCTCCTTGCCCCACCCCAGCCATTCCACAGATATATAAACCCATTGTCCTAATTCCAACAGACCTCACTACCTCTGAGGATGCTTGCCATAGATGCAGGCAAAACGTCAGGAGAAATGCCTCTAGAACATGGCCCTATAGCCCGAAAAAACCCACAAGAACCTAGTGATTCCAGCCATGAAAGCCTTCGACAATACGTTCTACTGAATTGTCGTGTTTTCGCAAAGCCATTAGTTGTGACGTAAAGAGAGCTTTGGGTTGTTGTAGGTTTTTTCGGGCTGTATGGCCATGTTCTAGAGGCATTCTCTCCTGACGTTTTGCCTGCCTCTATGGCAAGCATCCTCAGAGGTAGTGAGGTCTGTTGGAACGAGGAAAAAGGGTTTATATATCTGTGGAATGATCAGGGTGGGACAAAGGACTCTTGTCTGCTGGAGCTATGTGTGAATGTTTCAACTGACCACCTTAATTAGTATTTGATGGCCTAGCAGTGCCTGGAGCAATCTTTTGTTGAGAGGTGATTAGATGTCCTTGTTTGTTTCCTCTCTGTTGTTTTGCTGTTGTAATTTTAGAGCATTTCCTTCATTTTCTCCTTTGCCCAGATGTGATTGGGAGAGATTCTGAATTTACATATCCTTTTTGTACCAAATCACTTCTTGCGGACTGTAATATCTCTCGTCAGCGGGAAGTCCCGGAGCCTGAGAAAGAAGGCTGGCCCAAGGGTAGCGTGAGAGCAGCTGCGTTTCAAGGCTTTAGCTGATCTAACCCCAGAGCCTTGATTATCTGGATTATTGGCAGATTTTTAGACAATGAATGAGTTGAGGCTCCAGTTAAGGTCCCCAATCACTGTGCAGATTATTGTCTGAGCTGTGACCCGAGGTGCTAAGCTGCTGGTTTCATTCAATCATTCTCGTCTTGATAGGGGACATCTCACCCACTGCCTTTATGTAAGGGATGTGGCTTTGATTCATGGAGGGTTGCCAACTGTTGAGGAAGAAATAATAATAATAAGTAACATATATAATACCCAGATTGCCCTGGTGTCAGAGGAGTCACTTCCTCCTGCTCGCATCCCTTCTTTCTCTTTTCCTCCCCTCATACCTTTCTATATCTCCTTTCTCTTCCTTCCTTCCCTCCTTTTTCTTTCTCCCCCACCCCTTCCTTCTCCTCCTTTTCTTTTTTTCCATTCTTTTTCTTCCAATCATTTCTCTTCCCCCTTCCTTCCTTCCTTCCTTCCTTCCTTCCTTTCCTTTCTCTTCTTTCTTTCCCTCCTTTTCCTTCTTCTCCCTTCCTTCCTCTTCCTTTTCTTTCTTTCCCTTTCTTCCCTTTCCCTTCTTTCCCTCCTTCCTTCCTTCCTTCCTTCCTTCCTTCCTTCCTTCCTTCCCCTCATACTGTTTCTTCCTTTACTTTCTCTTCCTTCTTTCCCTCCTTTTTCTTTCTCCCTCATTCCTTCTTTCTCCTCCTTTTCTTTCTTTCCCTTCTCTTTCTTTCCATCGTTTTTCTTCCCTTTTCTTTCTTCCCTCCGTCCCCCCTTCCTTCTCCTTATACCTATTCCCCCTTCCTTTCTTTTCTTTCTTTCCCTCCCCTTTCCTTCTTCCCCTTCCTTCCTTTTCCTTTCTTCCCTTCCCCTTCCTTCCTTCCTTCTTCCCCTTTCCTTCCTTTTTCTTTCCTTTCCCTTTTCTTTCCTCCCTTCCCTTTCCCTTCTTTCCTTCCTTCCCCTCATACTGTTGCTTCCTTTACTTTCTCTTCCTTTCTTCCCTCCTTTTTCTTTCTCCCTCAGTCCTCCTTTCTCCTCCTTTCCTTTCTTTCCCTTTTCTTTCTTCCCTTCCTCCCTCCTTCCCTCCCTTCTGCTCATACCTTTCCCCTTTCCTTTCTCTTCTTTCCTTCCTTCCTTCCTTCCTTCCTTCCTTCCCTTTTGTCTTTCCTTCCTTCTCCCCTCTCTCTCTCCCCTACCACCCTGCCTTCCTTCCATCCATCCTTCCCTTTTCCCCTTCCTCCCTCACAGGAAAGAAGGAGAGGAAGAGGGAG